GCCGTTTGGTTTTTTCAGCACACAGGCTCCCTGGCAACGCAGAGCTGACCAGCATAGTTCAGTAGCAAACACTGACAGGGTCAGATATATGAATATGAGGAATGTGGACAAAATAGTTTGTGTAATACTTGCACAGACTACTTTTGTGTGCATCTGGCCAATGCCACAAGCAGGTCTGACTGCCAGATTTTCAGTTTCAGGAAATTTACAAAAATGAAGAAGAACCTGCTTATCCAACCTTCTGAAAGGGGTTTATTATCGCTTTGAGACTGACTATCAAGCCTGAGGAAACGTTTAAAAGCCCTTGGTTGAATAAACTGGGTAAATAAGCATTTATCACAAATTTTCTTGCAGGTATAAATACCAGCTGCATGTGTTCAAACAGCATGCGTAATCTTTCTGGCAAAACACATACAGTCAGGCAGAGAAGTTTGGCGGAAAATCAACCACCAGCGGAATTTGATGTAACTGGCTCATTTGGCTGACAGAAGACCAAGGGTTTTGTAGATCGGGGGAGGGAAAGGTAGCGCGGAGATCAATACACTGAAAATGTTACTATGGTGAGGAGAAGGAAATGAATGAAAATGAGACGGTGATACACAGTGGTGTACTTGTTTTTGTGTCTGACATGATGTGCATCTATGTTTGGGCTGTTGGGGAGGAGGGGGTGCTGTTGACTGACAGGAGAACCAGGAGATCTGGGTTTTTTTTCCCTTTTGGCAGACGTTACATTCAGCCATGCAATGTCTCGGGAGCTCAAAAAGTGAATGTGTGTGTGTGATTATATGGTTTCTAAGACTTGCATCAGGAGCAGGGTAGTTATAGAAAGGCTCTGGTGCATGAATTTTCTGCATGTTGGCCTTTGTGTTGATCTTTGTATGTGTTCTATTGTGTGTAATAAACTTCTATGGAGTGAGATCAGCAGCTTGTCAAATACAGAGAAGTTTTGCTTCCTCTTTAGAGCTTCAGCAGTAAAGACAGATGTATGTACACACACGTGTATGTGATCCCTTTCCATGCTAAATAAAAGAAGGGTTAGATACCTTTACTTGGTAAATAAATAGGAAAAATAGCAAACTTGTTTTATATAACATAATTCAGCTTGCATTGCCCCTTAATACCCAATTTATATGGAAATGAGACAATGTTTGTTTAACTGTGTTTTACATAGATATGTGGTTAAAATCTGCTCAGTGTCATGACTTATGGGGTAATGCATTCATAGATTTAATGGACAAAGACCCAGGTCCTTTCTGGCTAAAATTAAAAATGTACATATGGACTGAAAGTATAATGTCACAGTCCAGACTCCACATTGAGATGTATACTTTTTTAACAATTATTTCTATCTCCTCTAGCCTGGAGGATGAAGGACAAACAGACATCTGCACTAAATACCCTTCATTATTGACAGATATTACCTGCACAGAAAAATGATGTCACTTCAGGTCACCCAATGTCGTGCAAAGTATAATTTGATAACTGCACCTGTCATACCCTTAATATTAAAGAAACAGTCACGAAACAAAAACCATCCTCAGCTTCAGGCAGCAAGACCTGCCAAGGGTTCTGTTGATACAGAAATAATACAATAAGCCTACTGAAGGTCAGTCAGTGTAATAGACTGTTGTACATCACAGCCAGAATCACAATAGGAAGATAAAATCTGTGCTGAAAATTCCTTTTCTTCAGTCCATCCAGTTTTCAGGCAACACACATTCCAGATAAAATCATGGTTAATTATTTTGCTAATTGCTATTTGTATCAATTAATTATGTATAATTAAAATCTTCAGAAGAAAAGAGACCACCTTGAGTGCAATCATCAAAATATTTTCATTTCAGAGACAATAACACTGGGATGTTAGACGGCTATTCATATATATTTTGTGCAGTATGAGTTGTTGTACCAACAGCTATCAACATACAGTACATGTGCAGGAATAGACAATTATTCAGATCAGTCTCTTATATCTCTGTGGCTTGGTCCATTCCTGCTTATTCAGGATTAGAAAGATGAAATGTAACAAGAGACCATCTTGAGACTAGAGATGCACCGATCCAGCTTTTTCAGTGTCGATACCGATCCCGATGCTGTGGCTTTGAGCATTAGCCGATACCTGATACCGATCTGATACCATGGTTGACCTAAAAAGCTATATACCTTTACATGTAGAACAGAAAAGACTAGAGGCATCAGGCATTGATGACTACACAGTTCTTTCTTAAGATAAAATGAAACAACACGAAACAGATTAACACAATGATGAACTATTCATTTTTTTAACAAAAATTAACAATTGTGCAACAGCAGTTGAAATAGTGTAAAATACCTCCACACAGCAGATTCCCTCCTTCCCTCCATGACGTATGACGTAGCTCGCGTCACAATAGATTTAAAAGGAAAGGATCGCCTCAGGTATAGGTTGCATTTTCCAATACCTGATCCATCTATTTTGATGATATCGGGGCCAATATTCGATCCAGATATCGGATTGGTGCATCCGTACTTGAAACGGGATTACACCAGCTGCAATGCCAATTTGTGAAATAAATGTGGGCCCCTTTCTTACATCCTACCCCTCTTGCTCAGACCACATCCATCTTCAAACTCAACCTTCATAGTGATCTCAACTTAACACCTGTAAAGATTCATGACTGCATCTTGCACGGTTGTGACACTATCATGGACCACACTTTGCCATGGTGACGCACACACAGATTCACAAGGTGAAAACAATATCAGCCCTGCTGGTAAAAATGGTCAGCCTGCGTGTCGAGCAAAATGTCCCACTCAAAAAAAAAGTGTGATGTGCCACCTTTAAATCAGTGAGTGAGTCACAGCCTAAATGTACTCCGTTAAAGATCATCCACAGACACTCCAAAGTATATGGGAACATCTTAGTCACTACATACAACCAACCTACTTACCAAATCAATATAACCAATTAAATTCAAAATAAATAAAATGTTGCTGCCTTGTTGTGGGATGGTGAGGGTTCTTCTGTCCTGTTTTTAGATTTCCTTTGTTTTGTCCATCAAGTTGTCCTCAATATGGTTCTTTTTTCCAGAGCATTTATTATTTGCCTCTCACTCATCCATTTACATATACTACCACGCAAGGTGCTGGTATGACCACTGGGAGCAATTTGTGGATCAGCGTCTTGCCCAAGGATATTTCAATAGAGAAATCACTTTTAAAAAATAGGGTTCAGTGTATCCGTCTTTATTTAATGTCAAAAAGCACCACTAAGTCAATCACTTTGCATGTGCAAGAGGGTTTATATTTTTAAAGGTGAAAAGGCAAACTGTTCTCATAACTGCCTTGTAAATGATAAGGTGTAGGAAGGGTTGTGGAGTCAAATCGTGAGAGAGAAGGAGACAGGGAGAGACAGAGAGATGAAGGAGGAGAGAGTTAGACTTTAAACTTCGTTTTCAAGAGTCTGACTCGGTGAGGGTGTCAGTGTTTGTCTTTTAATGGAGAGAGAAACAGGATAGAGGCAAGCTTCTGGCTCTCACTCTGACAGCGCGATGTTGGGTTTACAGTAATTCTGCTATTTTAGGGTAATTAGGACATAGGGGAATTGTTTGGAAGAAAACAGTCTTCCGCACACAAAGGCTTGCCCACACTTCGTCAGGCTATCTTCTCATCAAGGGCTCTCTGTGGTTCACAGCAGTCTCTATGAGTGGTGAACGGTTCCTCATAGAGAGACCAGCCGCTAACCAATATGTATGCAACATCAGTGTCTTTGAGGTGAGATGCAGAAAAGCCAACAGAGCTTCCAGGCAACTGGCATAAGTTCGGTATTACCCCGACACTTGGCATCAATTTACTAAGCGGCGCTATCCGTTTGGCTTTTGTCTCAAGCAACAGTGCATCAGTCCTCCTACACTCTGTCTCTTCCCCGTCCCTCCCTTTCTCCCGCTCTGAGTGTATTAGATGATAACCCCCCCCCGCTGATTGCATCCAGAGAACGATAACCTTCCCGTCAGCAAGGTAAGACTCCCTCGAGCTCTCAGTATGTGTGTTAGTGTGCTGTTAAAGGCTTGCAATAAGAGTAACTGGGTTCTAATTAGTGCTGTTCGCTCTGCAAACATGCCTATAATCCACCCAAAGGAAAATTATTATGTAATTCTGTAAAATCATAAGACAAAGCACAACGTAGTCTGTATATCTATGCCCACTACATTAGTCTAATTTAATTACTTTAAAGAAAATACTCTGGTGGCAGTGATAAACTAAAATGGATAAGAAAGCTTTAGTGCAAGCACTCGTCCATCTCTGTACAGATAAAACACTTATCTACGTTGCTTACAGGCAGACACAAACACACAAAATCAAACACACACTGAATTTCTGCAGATGCACACATGCATACATATTCCCATGTGCTATGTGTGCGAAGGGATTGTCTGCTTCATGTTCAATTCATTGACGTATGAATGACCATGTGCATGTGTGTGTGCATGGGTGTCAAATCTGATCTTGTCCAAACATTGCGAACAGATGGTTTTGCACACACACATGCACGCACACACAATAGTGTGCAGCATGGAAACTGAAGTCCTAGGAGCCACACCTCTTGACCACATGGGGTGTCTCTAAAATATAGATCAGAAGGCTGAATTTTTGACAGCCATTTACAAATCTTTTGATGAGAGGTTTAAAGAGCCCCCTTTGAACTGCTTCGTTTTTTAATTAAAGGCCAACAAACAAAATTCAAATAATGAATTCTCTGTCAAGTGGAGGCATGTGACCTCCCTGAAGTGGTATCAAAAGCCAGGATAACAAGACAAACTTTTCTTGTCTGTTACTGCAAGCTTGGTACACAAATAAACAACTGTTTACATGTGGTTGAATTATTTCATGGTTTTAGCAACATATGGGCCACCACCATAAAATTATGTGTTCTTTGGAAATTTGTGTCACAGCATGTCGTGTTACAGGGCATAAACAATATGCTCAGTGCAGAGACGTGCTAATGTTTAACATGATCCTACCTTGTCGAACATCTCTGGGTGCTATGGCGATTGCTTCATTAGAATGCAGCTCAGTGACGCAGCAGTCATCAGGAACCAGCGAGCCGTTGCTAAAACTGTGGGGTGTCTCTGGGAGCAACGGAATAGGTGGAGCCATGATGTTGTGGTTTGGACAGATACATCCCGTCTGGGTCATCCCACAACCATCACCGTCAGAAACCTCCTGGTCTCCGTTGTGACCTGTACGTAAACACTCCTCAAACCATCGGCAGAGCACGCCGCAGGTAAACTGACTCGAGTTCTCATTGTTAATGAGCAACACCTCCACCAGTCTCAGCTCCAGCAACTCCTTAGATACCTGAGGCTCATCTGCAGCTGGATGTCTCGTTAGACATAGCTGGACGAAGTTCTTATCAAACTGTAGGAAGGAGTACGGTCCCTCTGGGTTGGGTTCGCTGCCACAGAGATCAATGACTTCCTGATCCTTGGCAGCAGCTGTCTGTATGTGTAGGGGACAGCTTTGATTGGCCAGGTGGTGGTCAAGGGAGAGAAGCATGGGGGAGTGCGTCCGGCAGATGACAGGGTGGCGGGTGAAGCGGAGGTAGAGGGAGTACTTGGTGGGATCAGGGTTTTCCAGGGACCAGGAACAGCCCGGCGCCCTGGAGGGAAAGAGCTCCCTTAGGGAGAAAGAGCCATAGAGCACCCCAGCTACAAGGCTGGAGCATGGTGAGGAGACAGGCGAGGGGGCCCGCTCTGCCCCAGTGCTGGGGACGCCGTCGGCAGCCCCATAGGCAGCCTCAGCCAGGGCAGAGAGAGGAGCTAGAGCGAGGGCAGACAAGGCAGCCAGGGCCCCAGCCACAGCCAGGAGAGAGGACAGCACAGACAGACACACCCCACCAGCAGTGTTCATCCTATGACATTCGTCCTGCAGGGGAAGAGAGAAGAGAGGAGGATGGAGAGAGAGGGGACTGTCCATTAGACACATCAGGAAATATCTTCAAACACAACCTGAAAAAATCAACATGACAAGGACAAAACTCATCAATATTCCTGTTCAAATCTAGACCAAAGAAGCATGTCGGGTTAGAAGATATTTATGGACAGATTTCTTCTTTGCCTAAGAATAACATAACTTTATGGCAGCAGTTCTCATGGAGTTCTTCTTCAAACACACACATACACATGCACTGCCAAAAACAGAAACACATCCCTGCTGGGCTGGATTAAAAGGGTTGATGACTTGGCTTCTGAGACATGCACTGTGGGGCCTGCTCTACCCTTTCCTGCTGATACGCGCACACAAACACACAGGCAAATGCACGAATGCACACACACACACTATTGCCTGCTGAGCAGCTCCCCCAAGGCTCTGGCAAACTATTACCATCACAGACACAGTAAGGGTCCGCCAATAGCCTGATTTTGACTTATACAATACACACATACTCTTGACAAAAAATAAAAAATAAAAAATATATACAGCGTACAGTGTCTTAGCAGTTTGCTTGAAACTACTTCAAAAGCCACTACATTTTTGCATGCCCCATGTGTCTGCTCCATCACCTGAGAGTTTCAAGTGCTCCTGCATAAATGCAGTTTGAGGAGGGTATGTGGGAGATGGGAAATGTTTGCTCCACTCTACCAGTAACCTTAAAGCATGATACCCAGACAAGTTTTTTTACTAAAATATCACTATGCTCTGAAATTCAACAAATGGCTCTTTGCAACACATCATGTTGACACAGAGAGAACTTTAAACTGTAATATAAGAAACATGTTGCAAAACTATACACAACTACGACTCACATAACATGAAAAATACACTATAGTTGAGTAATCATAGTATGGAGGGCTACTGAAGTCATAATATGACATGATGGGGAGAAAAAAGACTCAAAGGCAGTAAATGTCAGCAGCTAATAGTCTTCCATTGATTGCTTTTCCATTACAAGGTGCCACAGAGTTGCCTCTCCATAGGTAGAACTGGCTCAATATTGTGCTCCACAGCGTGTGCATTGCGTATATTGTGATTATCACTGTAGCCTGTTTGTTGCCAGCAATTTTTCTGAGTGAGCACCATTTTCTTAGCTTTTCTAAGCTGTAAAGAGAAGGCATGGTGCACTCAGAATCATTACACGACCAATGTGTTCACTCAAAAACACAGTATATTACAGTACAATACAGCTAACATCATGCTAACATGCTACCATCATGTAGGGAGGCCGAATTCATGTTACGTTATACAGATTAAAAATGCACACGGCCTGTTAAGTGCTGTTCATAAAGTATTAGCAGTTTGTGACATCCTATGTTACATATGTCACAACAGTAACGCTAATACATTTAGTTTTTTTGTTTTTCATGAAATACAATACAGTTAATAACGTAGACTCACGGTGTTCCGGACATTTGGCACAGTAAAAGTCCCATAAGATATCAATGCGTAGATAGATACGCTTGATTGGTGTGTCTATCTCTGGGGGCAGGTCTTACATGCGTGCCAAAGTTTGATTGACACATTTTGGGCCAATCATTTGGGAGAAATGTTGAAAAAAACAGTCAGTAGTCACGGTGTCTGGATGACGGTGATTGCTCACAGTAATCCGGACAGCTGGCAATTTCCACTCATGGTATTCCGGACAGGTCCGGAAAGTGGTGTTAATAACACAGTAATGTTAATATAAGTTAAATTTAATGTTATGGCTTGAAAAGTTAATAATGTTAAGTTACAAATATGTGTAAATTACTTTAAAACAGCCATTTTAAGAGTGAGATGATGTGTGTGTCTTGCTCGGTCTTGCTGCAGTGATGCGCCGTTGGCGCTCATATTCATGTCAGACAAAGGGCCTCTGTAAATGTGTGTATCCCTTCAAAAGGTCAAAATATTGGTAAAACTAAGTCCTAAATATTCTATGACACCTTAAAGATGTTTTTGCTGATGGGTTATCATGTTTTAAAATGGGTACTTTGTGGACATAAGCCTCTCCCCCCCGTAGCGTCCTGTCCGAAGACTCTCCCCTCCGGCCATTTTTGAGCGTCATACGTGCACGTTGGAAACTCGCGTTGATTTCTCCCCAACGACAGCCCCCAGGAAGTATTTATTAATTTATTTGCGGGTAAAGGTCAAGTGTCCGGAATACCGTGATGTCCGGAATACAGTGAGTCTACGTTAAGCTTTTTAACTTCTACAGTAACAAGCTAACGATGGTGGAACAGGCTAATGTTTCACTGATAAGTTAACGTAGCACTTTCTTATTCTTCCCATTTTGAATGTAGCCTAAAATATGAGTTGCAATACAACTTACTGAGTGTAAAAAACAAAAAAAGCAGTATAACCGCATAAGCAGTAACTGGTATCCATTACTTACCCTGCTTAATTAGCATACTAGCTAGTTAGCTAACTTGCTAAAAAAGAAGCAAAGCTTTCGTTACGGGAACATACTGTTCTCACACTGACATACTGCTTTGGAGTAAAGTGAAGTTTTCAGTTAAACTGACTAAAATTTGGGAGCAAATACAACATACGATCCACTTTTCCTCATCATATTGCTGAACTCACCTGCATGTAGCCACAGCACACCAATTAGCCTTTCTTACGGTGGCCATTTTGTATTGTCACAGAAGGGAAAGCCAGGGGTGTAGCACCAAACTCTGGGCTCTATGCATCAGCAGGCTCTGTGGGCCCCCTGTCCTCTTTTAATGGACGTCTCTCGCTTGCTTACTTTCCCTTTCCTTTCGTTCTGTCTTTTCTTTGGGGTAAGACATGACAGTGTACGGTGGTGCCCCAGCAGCATAGGCAGTCACTCACTTAGCTTTAGGTGCATTTAGAGACAAATCAAAGGGCAGGGGGCGACTAAACTAGTTTGCGTCTTTAAGGGACTGTTGTCAACTTATCAGAGGAGGGGAGTGGTGGGGTTGTGACTTCTTTTCCTTGAGCCTCCCTGAGTGACTGGCAGAAAATGCATGACCCTTCCTCCGTCATAAATTGGTTATAAGATTTTTAAAATGTACCCTCTGATGTGTGAAAGTTAAAGGTGAAATCCTGGACTTTGAAAAAAAAGCCTCAGTTTCTTACTCACGTTTGTCGTGCATGCTCGTTTGTTCGTAGCCTACAAATGATTTATTTTTGGGCAAGTTTTAAATGAGATGTAGAAAATAATAAGTGATTTTGATGAGGTTGAGGTAGCACTATTTAAAGCTCAGATTTGGTTCCGATTTGTTTTTGGTTTTCATTGCACATGATGTGTTCAAGAACAGGAAATTTGAAAATCCAATGGTAATTTTTGTTTTTACAGTTTCTAGCCATGATAAATGGTGAAATTTTGGTGATTTTTTAAGACAACGCAGACTTTGAACGCATGTTTTTTTGTAAAAATCGGTGGTAAAATAAGTACAAAATACAGCAATTTAAATTTGTATGCCCCTCCCCTAAGCCAAAATAAAAAATCATAAGTCCCTCCCCAGTGCTTAGAAAATTATTTCATATGCCCTCCCCTTTTTGCACCACCCCTCCCCCTAATAAATTATGAACAGTCCCTAGGATTTTTGTTGTTTTTTATACATAGTTAAGCCTTTTACTGATTTAAGCAATATTTTTTTGGTTGTGGCACTAATTCAGGCTGTTCGAGGACCCCCCTCCCACTGGAGCCCTGAGTAATCAGTCCCACTTTCACCCCTAACACAACACCCCTGACAAAAGCACAGGTGTTAAAGCACTAACAATGCTGAACAACCATGCAGGATACAAGTGTCCTGACATCAAAGCAGATAAACAGAATTCAGCCATCACTGATTTAATTGTTCACACCTGTGTTGTTCCTACAGTGACATGTCAAAATGTCTTTGTGAAAGAGCCTACTTTTCCGGTCTCCCTGGCAGCACCAGCTAAGGCTATAAGGGTGTGATGCAACCCCTGTACAGAGCAGGTGTGTGCCTGAAGAACAGGGATACTCAACTTCTTTTGCCAGTAGGAGGCCAGGGAGTTAATAAACATAAATTTAACTGACACTGATAATATCTATCAAATAAAAAGAATACAGATTAAACGGCTGATAACTCACCCTTCTTTGTCATTATTTATTTTCAAATTAACTGAATTATTAATGTATTAACTAAATTAATTGGGCACAGGGCTTGACACCAGGCTTTAATGACAGATAAATCAGATATTTAACAGCCAGTCGCAGCAGCTCCACACAGGTCAGGTGAACGCAAGGGTGTTTCTAGGGTTTGAGGCCTAGCTCGAACCTCCCTTGGCACTTTCAGATTTAGAAACAAGCTCTAAAATGATGTTTTTTATGCACTCTGGCACCTTATTTACATTCAAAGTACAAAAAAAATCCACTGTGAATCTATTCATTTTCATTGTAAATTAGAAAATGGTTGGCAGGCTACCCTGCGCCCCATGGTGGGCCACATTTGGCCCATGGGCCTTAAGTTGAACATCGCTGCTTTGGAGCAGGTGCCCCACTTCTCTACTGCCCAGGTTAATAAAGCACAGCGTTAGCCTGTACTTCACAGGATTTATTCAAGTCTGTTCAGGCTCTCCAGCAACAGACACACAGTTCGCAGGGCCCGGGTAAGAGACTAGGAACTGTGCTTACTTCACAAGTCAAGAGGTGACTCAACAGTTGGACAGTAAGAGGCACTTGGGCTTACAGGAGTGTGCTGTTAATGAGAGCTAGAAACACATGAAAGGCAGACGGATGATGGAGAGGGAGACAAAGCAGGAGAGATGGAGGAGGAGAGGGCACTATTGCAATTATACCAGAATTATGAAAATATGAGCCAAATTTGCATCATTCATCGTAAAAAATAAACAATCACCTTCAAGTTTTAAGCATTCAGCTGATGCTAACTCAGAGTGATGTACAATACAGAAAATGCTTTACTGCCATGCTCAAGGACAATTCACCTACGCACTAT